TTTAACCCAAATGCTAGCAATAGATACTAGCTTGAGAAGAAAACATCCATATAAGTTCGACAGAAGACAACAACAAGTTCGAAGGGAGAAATATGGACACAAGCTTAGCATGAGACAATATCAACAAGCTTGGCAAGAGACAGTCTCAGCAAGCTTGACAAGCTCGATAGAAGACAACTTAAGAAAGCTTGGCACGAGACAACTTTGGCAAGACAAACATAGAGATAAGCTTGACCTATATACAACTTAAGCTCAACCCACCAAAAATTCTACAATCTTTTTTTCGCATATAAACTCCTTTTGATTCAAGCATTCCTTTCGAGTTTCAAAGAATGAACAAAAGTCAAGGAAAAACTTTGTCAAATGTTAGACTTTATCTTCCCCAACCGGTGTTCACACATGGACAACTCTATGTAGTAGTATTTAGAGTGAAAACAAAACAAGGCTTGAAAATACTAATTGTAGATTAAGATGGGAATGTAACCAATACAATAATACAAAAAAATATTTGAAAATATTCCTTCATCTGTAAATGTGATGGATGGAAGAAAACAATATGGTAGCAAACTCATCAAGTTTTTGCTATAAAAATTTATTTTCCTTACATAACTCAAACTATCTTCCCCAACAAATACTCTAACTATATACTAACACACAAAAGAACACTTTCCATGTCAATCATTTGACGTCACGCAAGCAAAATGTCAATGTTAAAATGATCGGTGACATTTTTGAATTTTTGGAATAAAATTGATGATGACACCTTGTTCCTCTAATGTCAAATGCCTAAATGACATCGGCCTACCTTAGATACGTCATTAATTGATGTCAACCCCAAACAGTTTTCGACGTCAAAGGCCTAAATGATGTCAACCTCTAGTATGTCTGATGTCATAGGTTTCTTAAAAAATTTAAGAAGCAGCACAAACCTTATTTTGTTGCATTATTGCTTCATGCTTTCTTCTTAAGCTACTTAGCATTCATCAACAATGGTGACGAAGAAGTTCTAAGGTGAGTTTTCCTTGTTTCACTCACTTTCAACCTTTTTTGCTTTTGTTTATGGAAATTCCTTTTGTTTTACCAATTTCGTGCTCATTACTTTGCATTTTCAAGGGTTAAAAGCAAACCTTAACAAGATGATAAGGATCACTCCCTCCATCCAACTTCGTTTTGAGCTTTGATTTCATTATAAGGTTAATCTTTCCTTCTTTTTTTATCTTAGACAACTTTTTTTAGGTTTTTTAAGGCATGTTTTGTTTTTATTAAATATTTGAGTATTTTTAATATCAAATTTAGATTTATTATTGTTTGTTTAAGTAATTTTAACATTTATTATTATATGTTTTTTTTTTGACAATTTTAGATGTCTTATTGGATGTTGTATGTTTATATAATTTTAAATTTATATTAGATTTTTTATTATTATTTGGTATATTTTTATTTATATTAAGATTTATTATAATTTAGTTAACCATTAAGAGAACCATTTGGCACAAATAATTAAACTTTTAATCATTTTGTGTTAAATCTTGATTTTCTTATCCAAACAATTGATTCTTCTTTTAATAATTTATTACAACATATATAATGAAGTTTATGCATAAGTTTGATAAAATTTTGGTGAGACCATTTTTTGTTGTTCTCACGATGCAGACTTGATTGTGGTTCATGAGTGATATACTTTCCATTCATGTACTCGGAGACTAATTAATGCGCAAAAGTTTACAAATTTACGATTAAACCTTGATGTAAAATTATTAAAATATATTTGCATGGGTAGGTCTCACGCATGTGAAAGTTAAAAATTTGATATTGATGGAGTTTTTTTCAGCATATATGGATCGAAGTTGGATGAATGGATGTCGCATCAGTGAATGAAATTATGAAACGACAGAATTTTGAGTTCTTACAATATGCTTAAGAACACGCAATCTTTGTGAAGAGACATTTTTTCTTGTGTTCGTTGTCTTAATTAAATACGTCGCACTTAGGCAACAATGTGTGATCATATATTCATATTCGGTATAATGAGGATTTATACAGTTTGGACTTGACATGAAGAAGTATTACACAAGCCTACAACAGCATGAGGAACAAATTATGTAGACAAATGGATGAGTGGTCATTTAGAGAGCATGATATGTGATGTTGGTGAAAAAAATTGGTAAAACTCATTTATATGATTCTCTTATGTATGATTCAGAGGAAGAGTTACACCTAGAATGTGCTAACTTTACACGACTGTTGACAATTTTGAAATTGTTTAATTTAAAATCAAGGAATTGATGAACTAATAAAAGTTTCACAAAATTGTTGAAGTTGTTGAAGAATATGCTTCTAGAAAATAATGTGTTACCTATCGGTAATTACAAGGCGAAAAAAATTCTATGTCCAATGAGATTGAAATACAAAAAGATACATGCATGTCTCAGTGATTATGTATTGTACGGAGACAATTTTACTTCACTGAAGGCATGTCCAACATATTGTTTCGTAGTTTAAAAAGAAAATCAATGGAAATAGTTGGATGAAGACAAATACGGTCCACCTAAGATGGTGTGGTGCTTGCCTATTATGTCACGTCATAAATAAAAATTGTCATTTGAGCAGGAATTAAAAAAGATTGAATTTAGGTAATATTATATAACTTTAACATATTAGAAATCACATCAAAATTTAAACATTAGTGTTCATACATAATGAAGATATGTTATCTTTTCAGCGGTTCAAAAATCTATCACCCATAACATATAAAACAATAAAGATGATAAAACAAGAGTGAATAGTATATCTATTGAAACCATGGAATTAAGACCCACTATAACATTACTTACTTTGTTTGAAAATTTTCAAGAATGTAGAAGTTACAATTCTATTAATATGAGAAATACACTACTGCTTTGGCCATTTGGTTACAAAATATGTTACCAACAAGAAGTTCATGGATTAGTTGTTAAGTACATCTTCTTGGAATATTTGCAAGGAATAATTAAAAAGGAAAACAATGAAAAATCAAATACATACTAAACTTTTGATTAATCACTCTATAGTAAAGATTTTGAAGCAATTCCACCTTACATGTAATTCCTGTGAAAATCAGTGTTTACTCACTAATTCTGTTCAGTTTAGACCTTGAGTTTGAGACTGTAATAGACCTTCAGTTAGTCCTCAATCAATTTTTTAACAGAAAAATCTGTAAACAAGGAAAACCATGGTAAAAATAGAGTGAAATATATGTGATTATTAATAGAAGTAAAAGAAAAAATTGAATCATCTTCTCATCAAACAAGTCCATATTATTTGAAGTGATGGAAATACGATAAGTTTCACCATGACATGCAAAAGGAAAGGATAAAGGGAAGATGTCGACACAACATATTTTTAAGGACAATATAAGGATTGTTGAACTCTTAAGCTTCTGTAACTCATCACTTGAGGTACACATTAGAGGAATGCAAACATAAACAATTCTAAACATGAAGATGCATAACTTAGCCAGTATTATATGCAACCTGTGTCATTCATGTAAATTTTTGGTTTCCATCCTGAAAAAACTGGTACTCATTTCCTGAAGTGTTTTTGGTATCATTATCTAATCAAAACTGAAGTTTCACCTCAGCAATCTGCATAATAAACATTTGCATCGAATGAAATTCCAATTTGATTGAAGAATAATACAAAAAGAACTTAAGGAAACTAATTCCAATTCTGTGCAAACGAGGAATTGCAAAATTCTTTTCTCTACTGTGATAATGTAAAAACCTGGTAAATATTCAAAAGATATTGATCCAAACAACTTTGTACTGTTCAAAATATCTATCAACTTAGAAAGTCCAAGTACTAGAGCTTTACATTATATAGAGTAAAGGTGTACTATATATACAATATAAACATAACTCCAACACTTAACCCCAACATTTAAAATCTAAAACCAAAACTCACTCTATATACAAGGAGAATTCGCTTCACAACTCAATTTTTTTGGCTACTAGTGCCCTTACACTATTTAGTCTTCCTTAAGCTTATAGACATTGTCAATGTAATCTTCTGTCTCCCACAGGAAAGATCCAAAAGCAACAGCTTCCAATACTAGTCTCTTCAAGCTAGAAAATGAAGTCAAAATAACATCATCATTCTCAAACGAACCCGAATCCTTGTTGTTAAAGAGTGCACAACTATAACTACCCACCAAATTCACAGCCTCCTTAGATCTCAATCTGGCACATCTTTGCAATGATCCAGGATGAAAGCTCATAACATAACATTTTAAGTCCTCAACTTCCTCTTCTGGCCTGATTAACCCTTGCCCTAAGGATGGCATGTTACTCAAGTGGCCAAAGATGGCCTCTTTGAATCCGTAAGAACACATAAGGGAAGTCCTATGACCAAGGTGAATATCATGGTCAGCCAACGATAGATTTCGTTCTAGGTGGTACCTCAATGAAACTGACTTCAAAAAGTAACCATATAATATGGAGGCAACATAAACCCGGGCAAGTAAGAATTGTCTAACTTTGGTTGTCGCCCAACACTCAGTTACACTAGATTTTGCTTTCAAGCCAGTTACAGTAGTTACGTGTTCCCTTATCATATCCAAAACTTCCAAGCTATGAATAGACTCTAGTTCCCAGTCCTTAGAAGGCAATATCTCTAGCCTGCCATTGTAAAGGCAACTAGAAAGTTTTGGTACCAAAGGGACCCTGATCTCAGAAAACTTGTAAAAAATCAGCAAGTACATAACATCTTCTACAGCAACTTGACATTGATTCTCTTTTAGTTGTGCAATCCTCCTGGCATTCAAAAAAGGTTCAAGTCAACATCTTTTCAATGGATATCTACAAGTTTGTTATGCAATTACTGAGGAATTTAAGACAAAGGTTTAACTGTTCTGTTTATTTCATTCCAGGGCATGACTTGATGCCAGGCAATTCCTGGATTCATTTAATCATGCAGATACTGCTTCATATCTGAAAAGACCATCAATATTTAACTCCAATTAAAACAATGTAAAAGACATTACAGGACAATTCAGGTCAAAGTGGTGAAAGGAAATGGCCGTCAGCAAAAGTTCAAGTATCTCAAATCTCACAAAAGCTAGTACATTGTATTAGAAGGTTTCAGAGGGAACCAAAAGTTGTCAGCTATCCTCTGCTCCCATTAAGAAGTGAGAAGTTTTATTGTCAACATATAAGAAGAGACAACAACAAATGGTGATTGTTCATGCTCTAAGTTTTAAGGTACAATCCAGAGAAGAAGATTTAAATTCTCCACCTTAAAATCATGTAACCATTGATTTGTCAGCCTACGTGTACCAGGAAAATGGCCACTAATTTTAGGGACTGCAAAACAATCAAGAAGGATCCGAGAAAGTTTGGTTTAGCTTTAGACCAGGAATGATGACCAAACCGTGCAAGTTGTGGTATGATACACTCCATAGTTTTCACCTCTCCAAACGATCATGAATCCACATCTTACTGATCTTACATTCCTTAGGCTTTGTCTTACTCCTACTTGATCAAAAGAAACTTGATACCAAAGCTTGTCCACTCTAGAATGAAGTTCAAATTTAGTACTTTGCTTGATTCATCAACTATCATTATATCATTTGTAAAATTAACGCAATGACACAACGGCTCTCTATTCTTGGATGTTCCGTTTAAGAATGTCCAGAGCCAAGGCGTTGAGATATGGACCTAAAATTAATCCTTGCCGCAAAACTATGCTCGGATTATAAGATTGACAAACAGAATGCTGGTCACAATTCGGGGATTTGAAGACAATCATAAGACAATAAAAGAAAGTGAGAAAGGAAATGTCCAATTATGCTACCAACACAATATCAAACAAATGGTGGATGCAGCCCAATTTCCAATAGAGTGAATAATCTCTGAAGTTTTTAATATTTTATATTAATACATAAGAAAATAATATGGCAGGTAAACATGCATGGCAGATATCAATATATAGTTGGCAAACTCTTCCGATATGTTTACATGCGCTTAGAAAATGTTAACCAAAATAACCTGTTGACAACCCACGTAAAATGTGACAGTTCTATAATACAAATGTTCCATGGTTCCGTAAAAGCTTGTTTTGCAAAATACATACTTCATTTGGTGGAAGGAGAAGAAATGCTAAGTTAAAAGAAGACAATCACATGTTCATTGAACTATTTGCAGTACCTTCCACGTCCTATATAAGCTGCAAAAACACAATCTCTGATTCAATAAAAGTAGATAACACTATTATACTTGTCCCTGAATTGATAATGGCTACGGAGTTAAGACAGCTACAAAACATTGTGATTGTATTTTTCCGACAATCTCCTGTGTTATCTTGCAAAAGAAAAGACCTGATACAGGCCTCTCTATGAACCCCGTGAAGAGACCATTTTATGCCAAACTTAGGTTACCTGAAATGACAGTTCTTATTATTGTTCCTCTGACTCTACCCTGGACCCAAAAGCTATTCACGATTGAATGATTACCAATGCTTTAGGAATTATTAGAATCATAAAAACAGTGAATGCTATCTGAATTTTCCTATAAACATAAACTCTTGATCCATATTAGACCCATTCCAGTGATTCTGTCTCTAGCATAGCATTCCCTGGTAAGTATCATTTACCATGCTAGCTCAGTAGCAGCAAGACACTTATGTATAAACCTTTTAGTTTCCCATAGAACAATTTTTAGTAGTTCTTGAAGACTAATAAATGCATTCTTGTTATCTTGAACTGGCTCAAATGCTCAGATACAAAGGTAAAATCTGCAAGCCAAAACTTTGTTACGAAACTGCAGTACAAGCTAAGACCTATATGATCGGAGATTTGGAGTGTCATGCTAGCATCTTCAAGGGCATCACTTGGTCATGCAATATTTTAACAGGATAAGGTCTTCATTTTTGGAGGCTTCTTTAGTATTCTATTTATGAATGTTTTAAGATTTTGCTTCTCAAGTAAGCTCCTTCCTGATTCTTTCTTTTCCAACCAATCTTTCCTGTTTTCTCTGTTTCTTAAAACATCTTATATCCCCTTCAGTTACAGTTTCCCTTACGCTCCAAAAAAAGTATCTTATCTACAAAAGTAAAACTTGTAAACCACAAAAAAACCAAATGAAGCTTGTTAAGGTACACAGCATGGTAAGGTCTCGCTCCTTACACTCACTGTACAAACACACAAACAAACCTCTGACCTCTGCAAGTCTAGAAAATTGAGTTCAAAGTTCTTTCCCTTTACGATAAAAAAAAAAAAAAAAAGATTAACCCACCCTAATAAATCAGGAAAACCACAATATGTTTATCGCACTTCCGCATATACATACATCTATTAACAAAACGCCAGATGCAAGGTTTACACATTGAATCACCAAAATTTCCGCATTGAAGTCACACATATCATAAAGTAACATGTTAAGGTTGTAAAGAGTGGTCCAGAACAGCAATTATGGAGGCAAAACAAGGATTTTTGCAGTTTCCGCCACATCGGCCACATTTATCAACAATTTCTCCCAATATCTCAAGTATGGCGTCAAGGTTTTTGAGCCCCACATCAGCCACTTTTATCAGCACTTTCTCACAAAATCAAGGATGAAACCGCCGCAACCACAATTTAAAACCTTAGCACAGATCAGATTTTCAAGTAAACTCATGATAGAATAGAATCCTTAAATACAGTTTGACAAATATTTCAACACGCCAAAATCGTCCCAAAAAGCTACATGAAATTCAAACCTCATAAATCACAACAAAACAACTTCAAAAAGAAAAAAAAAAATAAAGGGTATAAAAAGAAAACTCATAATCCGCCAACCAACCTGTGCAGCAAGGCCTCATCAGTGACAGAACCAAGCACCATGCGAGCATGTGCCGCATCACGATCCTCAGCCAAGAGCTTGAGCTCTTCCCCAACAGCAACATGGAACATCTGAGGGTGGTTTTGAAGGACGCCACTGAGGAACTTCCCCACCATGGAACGAGGCTCCAGAGGAGAGTTGAGGCTGCTAAACTCACATGGGCTGGCTCCAGCACTTGCTCTGATGAAGGGTCTACGCCTGTGGTGTAACAAACACGAGGAAGAAACAGAAAAAGCACCACCACCGCCACCAAAATCAGGCCTTGTGAAGAATCTGAAGTGGGGTTTATGAGACGATGATGGTAGAGTGAGGAGTGTGTGATGGTGGTGGTGGATGAGACAGTTTTCCATCAAACAAACAAGAAAGGAGTTGAATTGATGAATGAAGCAACAAGATTAGAGAGAATTTGTGTTTGTGCGTGAGAGAGCGAGAGAGAGAAAGAGAGTGGTTGGTGTCACTGTGTTAAAACAAAGTTGGTTTGGTTATGTATTGTCTGTGTGTGTACTGTAATATCAGGTTGAGATAGGATTCTTCAATTCACAACAGAAGAGAAGTAAACTAAAATATCTTAGGTTTCTTTTTTCTTTTTCTTTTTCTTTTTCTGATAAAATATCTTAGATATCTTTTTCTTCTTCTTTTTGTTAAAATGCCAATTTGATTATTTTTTTCAACTTATGAGGTAATTTTAATTTAAGAAAAAAAATGACCATGACTCAAATTGATAAAACTTTAATATTTAAGGACTTTTTATTATTTCACAATGAATTTTTCTAAAGTATGATTTGAGATTAAATTTTATTATAATATTTAAAAGATAAAATTGTGTAGTATTTGAGAAAGTTGAGTAGCAACTATATGTGTTCATTGTATTAAAATATCTTATAGTTTATGCAACGGATAGGGTTATGAGACTTTTGAGGTAAGGAAGGGTCAGAGTTTGTTGTTGATAAGTGATAAGTGCGTTTTCTAGTGGACAGTTGTTTTGTCATGGATGTGGTCCCAAAACAAGGTGCTGATCATTGCTTCTAAAATAATACAACAACTACTACTTATTTATTCATTGTGTAAATAAAAAGTAATAAATATATAATTTAATTTTGGTCCCTTTTGGTTTTGTATTTTTTCCATAAAAAGTTATTGTCAGATTCTTTTTCCTTTTCAAATGGATTTTCCCTTCCTAATCAAATATTAGGAAACTATGACATAAAATCAAAATAATACATGCATCTCTTAATTCTTATTCTACACCATGAAATCTAGAATTAAAACAATAGAGAAAAATTGATAGCAATTTAAAAAACAGAAAATAAAATATATTTGTTTCGTATACAAATTTATAAAGAAAATACATTAAAGAAAATAAAATAATACCACGCCGATTCTAAAGAAGATAACACTGCAACCAATAAGTGGTGTCTCTATGAAAGGGACGAAAGGTAACTAATAGGATATGTTTTGTAGTATTTGTTAATTTTCATTAATTTTTAATATAAATGTTTTTATATTTTTAATTAGTTAGATATAAACTGTCTATTAATTTGAAATTTTATTACGATACATATTTTTTAATTCTATCTCAACTATTACAAGTATCTTTTTAAAAAGGTAATTATACAAGAACCAAATCTAAACATAAAAATATATTCATTACATATAAAATATTGATGCAAAAAATCTATTCCTTTGTTCATCACTCCATAAACTGAGAACAGCCTCAAATGTGGTAATATATTTGAAAATAAAATCAATCAAATGGATATATTTTTTGTATACTAAAAAATTATAAACATTTTATTTTTTTAAATGATACTATTTTAACATGTTTGAAGTCAAAACATACACTAATCTCATTTGATATAATTTAATTATACTTGTATAACACAATACACTTTGAAAAACACATATTATACACTTATATAATTTAAAATTTTCAAGTATGTTGCAATTATATAAATTTTGACTGACATATTTTGGAAAAGAATATGGAAAAAAGTTTTAGTGATATTTTATTTATTTCGTAAAATGTGACAGTTCTATAATACAAATGTTCCATGGTTCCGTAAAAGCTTGTTTTGCAAAATACATACTTCATTTGGTGGAAGGAGAAGAAATGCTAAGTTAAAAGAAGACAATCACATGTTCATTGAACTATTTGCAGTACCTTCCACGTCCTATATAAGCTGCAAAAACACAATCTCTGATTCAATAAAAGTAGATAACACTATTATACTTGTCCCTGAATTGATAATGGCTACGGAGTTAAGACAGCTACAAAACATTGTGATTGTATTTTTCCGACAATCTCCTGTGTTATCTTGCAAAAGAAAAGACCTGATACAGGCCTCTCTATGAACCCCGTGAAGAGACCATTTTATGCCAAACTTAGGTTACCTGAAATGACAGTTCTTATTATTGTTCCTCTGACTCTACCCTGGACCCAAAAGCTATTCACGATTGAATGATTACCAATGCTTTAGGAATTATTAGAATCATAAAAACAGTGAATGCTATCTGAATTTTCCTATAAACATAAACTCTTGATCCATATTAGACCCATTCCAGTGATTCTGTCTCTAGCATAGCATTCCCTGGTAAGTATCATTTACCATGCTAGCTCAGTAGCAGCAAGACACTTATGTCTAAACCTTTTAGTTTCCCATAGAACAATTTTTAGTAGTTCTTGAAGACTAATAAATGCATTCTTGTTATCTTGAACTGGCTCAAATGCTCAGATACAAAGGTAAAATCTGCAAGCCAAAACTTTGTTACGAAACTGCAGTACAAGCTAAGACCTATATGATCGGAGATTTGGAGTGTCATGCTAGCATCTTCAAGGGCATCACTTGGTCATGGAATATTTTAACAGGATAAGGTCTTCATTTTTGGAGGCTTCTTTAGTATTCTATTTATGAATGTTTTAAGATTTTGCTTCTCAAGTAAGCTCCTTCCTGATTCTTTCTTTTCCAACCAATCTTTCCTGTTTTCTCTGTTTCTTAAAACATCTTATATCCCCTTCAGTTACAGTTTCCCTTACGCTCCAAAAAAAGTATCTTATCTACAAAAGTAAAACTTGTAAACCACAAAAAACCAAATGAAGCTTGTTAAGGTACACAGCATGGTAAGGTCTCGCTCCTTACACTCACTGTACAAACACACAAACAAACCTCTGACCTCTGCAAGTCTAGAAAATTGAGTTCAAAGTTCTTTCCCTTTAAGATTAAAAAAAAAACAAAACAAGATTAACCCACCCTAATAAATCAGGAAAACCACAATATGTTTATCGCACTTCCGCATATACATACATCTATTAACAAAACACCAGATGCAAGGTTTACACATTGAATCACCAAAATTTCCGCATTGAAGTCACACATATCATAAAGTAACATGTTAAGGTTGTAAAGAGTGGTCCAGAACAGCAATTATGGAGGCAAAACAAGGATTTTTGCAGTTTCCGCCACATCGGCCACATTTATCAACAATTTCTCCCAATATCTCAAGTATGGCGTCAAGGTTTTTGAGCCCCACATCAGCCACTTTTATCAGCACTTTCTCACAAAATCAAGGATGAAACCGCCGCAACCACAATTTAAAACCTTAGCACAGATCAGATTTTCAAGTAAACTCATGATAGAATAGAATCCTTAAATACAGTTTGACAAATATTTCAACACGCCAAAATCGTCCCAAAAAGCTACATGAAATTCAAACCTCATAAATCACAACAAAACAACTTCAAAAAGAAAAAAAAAAATAAAGGGTATAAAAAGAAAACTCATAATCCGCCAACCAACCTGTGCAGCAAGGCCTCATCAGTGACAGAACCAAGCACCATGCGAGCATGTGCCGCATCACGATCCTCAGCCAAGAGCTTGAGCTCTTCCCCAACAGCAACATGGAACATCTGAGGGTGGTTTTGAAGGACGCCACTGAGGAACTTCCCCACCATGGAACGAGGCTCCAGAGGAGAGTTGAGGCTGCTAAACTCACATGGGCTGGCTCCAGCACTTGCTCTGATGAAGGGTCTACGCCTGTGATGTAACAAACACGAGGAAGAAACAGAAAAAGCACCACCACCGCCACCAAAATCAGGCCTTGTGAAGAATCTGAAGTGGGGTTTATGAGACGATGATGGTAGAGTGAGGAGTGTGTGATGGTGGTGGTGGATGAGACAGTTTTCCATCAAACAAACAAGA